CTCTCTCTCTCTCTCTCTCTCTCTCTCTCTCTCAACACACGCACATCACGCATATATCTTCATCACGACTTCGCTCATCGGCACCCATCCACCGTCTGCCAACAACGCCTCTGCCGCTACCTTCTTCAGCCGCCACTGCCTTCTCTTCGCCGCCGCAATCTCAGATAGTGTCGCCTCTGCAAGGAGTGAGAGAAAACTACTGAAATGAAAAATAGACCTTTGTCACCCGATTTTTCGCCGCCTGAAATCCACCTGCGCTGAGAGCCCAACGATCGAAGAAGGATCCATCATATTCATCGGCGGCCACTCTTGACGTGAATCGAACAGAATTCATCGTCTTCATCAACGTCGAAAATTGCCTTGGAACCTGTTTATTGTGTTTTTGTGCTTATTTTCATGTGTTTTATGTGCGTTAGTCGAGTCTTTTTAGGTTTGTTAGTGTCGACCGGTCCATTTTATCGTATTTCGTGCATTTTTATCCTCGTATTTTGTTTTTGTGGTTCGACATATTTTTATTGTCTTTTTGGTGTTGAATAGGTCCATCATTACTATGACTCAAGAAACGAGATATTTTTGAGATATTCCGAGCCGTCCGAACCATTTCCTAGCCACGCAAACTATTTCCGAGGCATACACATTTCAAGACAAAGAGAAGAAGATTTGAGAAACGTGGGTCAAAGTTTCAAGTCAATCGGAGAAGCGTGCGAGAAGTTAGAGCGAATCGAGCATCAAGAGGTCACCGGGACCATTCCCAAGCATTTGCCTGCGCCCGCAGCACACCCGCGCAGCGCCCGCACGCCCCAGCCTCGCCCGCGAGCTCGTGGAAACTCCCGCAACGTCGAGAGTGTTGCTTTCCCCTGCAACACGCCCACAACACGCCCGCGTCGCGCCCTCACGCGCCCATACCTGCCAGCACACGCCCGCACCCCCGGGCCATTCCGTGACCACACGAGTGCCCATGCGCGCCCAGTGCCTTGCCGACTCGCGACCTCGCGGAAAATTTAGAGACCTCAAGAGTGTTTGACTAAATGTGCGTGTTTTTAGTGTATGTTTGTGGTGTAGCTATAAAAAGACATTGTGCTTTGTATTTTTAGACATCACCCTCATTTCCCAACTTTTAAGTTGGGAAATCCTCTTCATTTTCTCTCTTTTATTTTTTTATGCTTTGGTTGGAGACTCATGACTCGATTTTTCCGGTGAAATTCCGGCAACTTTATTTTCGATCAAAATTCGAGTTTTATGCACTATTTTCGTCTACGCATGCGATAGAAGAGTAAGTACCTTGATTAGGGCTAATTACTTTGAGTTTGTTTTTCAATTTTGTGCTGATGCTCGATTTTAGGTTTTGCTCTATTTTCATTGTTTGCTTTCGTGTGTTACATTCGATATGTGCTTATCTAGAAAGGTTTCAACTTTGCTCAAAGCGTGATGATTTAGTGTAGAAAGCTCGTGTTAGAAGACCTAGGATCACTATGCTTGCATGTTTTCTCTTGTCATTTTTCTTTTTCTTTAGTCATGGGGATTCCGGTAGACCAAAGTTTCGATCTTTTTTTTTTAAATCATGCATCTCTCATCGTTTGCTTTTAGATTTTTAGCGTAATTTCGTGCAATAAATCCCTTTAAGCAAGTAGAATGTGTAGGACTTTATTTTTGGTTATGTGGTTTTGATGACTAGTTAGTGAACGAAGCTCCGAATAGTCTTCCTTTGAGAACGACCCAAGTCCGGGTAACTCGGTTACCAACTATCCAAAAATACTACAAACAGAACCCTAATCAATCGCTCGCCCGCCACCGGCCGTACAACATCTCCGCCTCCGTCAAAATTAGATTGGTTGATTGTTGCCTCGGCGCCGCAACCGGCCGTACAAAATCGGCGTCGCAATATTCTTGGCGTCGAGTTTAAAAAATTGCCGACAATGAATTTGGGATTAATTATTTTTAAAAATTAGATTGTTTTGAGGGACCTAATTACAATTTTATAAATTATAATTATATGACAATTGAGTTCACGTTTGCACATTAATGTACAGTGTATTGCACCATATCACGTTCGGAATTGCACATTCAAAATATCATTATAAAGCTTGCACCATATTGTTAGACAAACTGCACATTAGTGTATATGATATTGTACTTTATCGCATAATGTATTTTTCGCAATGACTAAAATAACCCCACGTGAAAAAAACAAAAGTCCACTTATTTCTTGAAATGCCACTGCATGTTTGACTAAAGATGGACCTTTTGACCATGTCTAGAGCGTTGATCTATCACATCCAATAGCTATGATTCATTCTTATGTCTTTCACTAGTTCTCTTTCTCATATGATCCTACATCTCTCTCTCTCTCTATATATATATATATATTATATGTGTGTGTGTGTGTGTGTGTGTTCATGATTTAACACTCAGAAATAGCTCGGTGTACCGGCCTGAGTAGATAATCCGATTCGGCCAGGCTAAAAGAGATCTCACATGTACAGAAGTGACATGTTTGGCCAAGTAGCTCGTACACGAGCTTAAGGTATCGGGGCCTGGTGGTCTGAGGACATGTTTAACCTCAGGTTGAGGTCAGGTCAGACATCGAATATAGGCCACAAGTGACCATTCAGGTGGTTGTACGACCCATGGACTAAAACAATAAAGGAGGAAAGAATCATAGCAAGCAGGAAAGAATCACTCCTCAAGAAATCTTGCCTAGATGGAGACGTGGTAAGTTAAGGAAGTAATATCTGGTTGTATCACTTCCTAACAAGAAATCTATTCGGCTCCAAGGTATTTGCCCTATATAAGGGCAACATATTCTTCTTCATCCATCATTGGATTCTCGCTTTTACTTACATATTTTACATATATACAATTTCAGCGAGTTTTGACTTGAGTCGTAGAGTTCTCCGTTGGGACCCTCTCCCAACGTATTATATGTCATCGGAGCTCAAGGACGAGGACTGTTTGGGACGTAGGCGTTCAAATCCGTTCGTGACATGAAGTGACGTAACAAATTGGCGTCGTCTGTGAGAAATCAAGTCCATTACCGACTATAAGAGACTAGTACTTTTTTTACAAAGTTTTACCAAATAACTACAATCATGTTCACAATTTTGTCAAAATCTCAATGTGCTATGAAATGCACAATAATGTTCTACGAAGTATACATTTGTCTGTCAGAATGCACATTAGCATAACAATGTATTATGCACAATGAATAAAGCACTCTTGCATGAAAAAATCCAATATTTACCTAACTACAACAATGCCACTGCTCTTTTGACTAAAGTTGACACTTTGATTATGTTTACGCGTTGATGTAATAACCGCTACGATTCATTATTATTAATTCACTATCTCATTCTCATATCATATATATATATAGGGGCTGGTTCAAATGCGGCCCACTCTTAAAATGCGGCCGTGAGACTCAATTTGGGCCGTCCATTAAACACGCTCAAAACAATTCACCTGCGCGTAAT